TCTGATGAAGCCGCACGTGGCATGCGGCAGAAAGGCCTCAGGGAAGTSCCACTCCCTCCTGCGGATCTGCATTATGATTCTCTCGCCTTGAGCGGTAATAGGATCGTCTAGATGCATGGTACAAGACTCTATTCTTTTTTTTCTATACCCCCCGCCCCTTCCCACCTCTTCTTGCTATTCGTCGGTCTGGGATCCAACTAGAGGTAGCATTAGGAGTATAAAAGAACGGTTACGCGCGGTATGATTTTTTCGGATGATCGCTTTTGATATGCGCCTGTGAATGCATCAGTACGAAATAATGGGTCGCATTCTGGTTYTRTAGGAATCAGTACTTTGTAGTACTCAATATAGGGGTTAGTTTTTTTATAGTACGCATGGTGATGATCTCTCCTTGTAAGTAAGCCTGAATGCTGAGAATCATGAATGACTCGTTGTCAATGATTGGCGAAACCTTCCGGAAYGACCTCTTGTTACGACATGATGCARCATTTGTCCGTYTCTTTTTACAATGTATGACGAACKTTTTTTACGATTTTTTACGATCTTTTTGCGCTTGGGCAAATGCCATAATGATGTAATTCCTTGTCTTGCAAAAGTTCGCACTCGCCAATATATACTGCAACTCAGACCGTGTACAATATACTTGAGATAATCACTTATGCGAAAACATGGGGGCAAGTTCCTACAAACTCACAAAACCATGTGACAAGTAGCGATCCCTTAAGAAACCACCGAGCAGGTGGCGGATAGCTCCTTGCTGCATGDCGSYCGTGAGCTATTGAGCTCGGCTCCCCGCTCAGACCACYTTGTCACATTGTGCATGAGCATGAAACGATCTTTTTGCGGCATGCTTGAACGCAATGGCAGAATGAATCACTGTCTGATCGACTGATTCTTCGCTAGTGAATCATGTGACGTGATCTATCTGATTACTTATGCATTTATTTACGAGTTTTTTAGATCAGTGTTACTAAATGTTCTGGCCAATCCGCATCGAAGAAAGCACGGAAACGCAGTCTGGCRGACCTGCCGAAACCATGCGGCAAGCAACGATCCCYTGAAAACTGCCTTATAGGTAGCGAATGGCTCCTTGCTGCATGGCACCCGCAGTCTACGGAACCGGCTTCCCTGCTCTGTTTACTTTCGTCACAAAATACCTAAATATGTGAACCCCCCTTTTCTACAGTAATAATTCGCTCTCTGGTTTTACGAGTTTAGGGATCAGCATATGTATCGTGGGGCGATTATCCGTTTATGTACTAGTGCTAAGTCGCATGTGTACRGGAGCGCAAAGGCAGCGCATCGAAGGAGTCGTGTTGTTAGGCGAAACCATTACAATAGAAAATGACGCAAGCATACCGATCCCCCGGGCACCCAAAAAAAACCTGAATGCCCCTGCCACTTAAACGGACRGCAATCAAAGAAAAAATCCCCTTCCAGGGTCGTTGGGAGATTCTATACGACATCACGACAGAAGTCGATTGAAAACCAGTTTTCATTAAACCTCTTGACCGTAGGCCAYGATTATCCCCGCATGATAGGAGATCAGTCTGTACCTGTTCTCTCTTTCAAAAAAAGGGGAGAGGACGCTCGCCCCTCTACGATTACCAGTTAGAAGGAAWAGGGGCACGCAGCTAGACTTGAGTATGCCACGGGGCAGCCATCCATCAGTATGAGCCTCTGTTGCGAAGGGCCAACTTTCTATTCCTACCTTTCGTAATAATAATAATTATAATAAAAAAATTAAAAATGGTGCAATAAGCTGATCTGTTCCTCTGAGTAGAAAAAGGGCACGGCACAATCAGTAACCCATGCTGTGTAAAAAAGTGAAGCGTTGGGCAAGGACCAATCAGATCACAACTCCCGCAGCACGAACCAGGATCGGGACGTGGGCCCCCCAAATCCCTTTGATTTTGTAGCGGCCATACATGAATGGCTCTCCCGCACTTTGTTTTTTTTTTAGAAAGCGGGGCAAAAAACACGCGCCAGCGACCCGCTACTCAACCTTCCTTCACCCACTCCATTCTTTGCTAAAAACCGGTAGTTGGATCCCAGAAGTTACGATGAATGGCTACGATATGGACGATCACCAGTAGCAATGGTTGTTGAACAAGGAACTAGCAGCCTTTTCTCATGAGAACGCAGTATTATTCTGAAACTCAAGTAGATGCTTTTTTTCGCCATAATAGACAATGCCTACCATACTTGCGATTTATAMCCGAGCTGGCGGTGTGCCGATGATTCGTCATCGGAGATCATACCTGGCATAGTGTAACTTGCCATGGGTGCAGTGAAGCACACAACTAAAACACACACGGGTGGGATTTTCCCCGCAGCGCTACTGACAGGCGACCCTGTCAGCCACACCCCGGAACGCTCGGATGCCGTATTCCTACGGAACGCAAAGGAAGTGGTGGAGAACGGTCGAGGTGAGGCGAGAGCATCGAAAACAGTTACGCATGAATGCTGGCGTCATGAACGAGCTGCGGGTCGCGATGGAATGAAGGTTACGAATGGTCCATGTTTCCTACGTTTTTCCCTATCATGTTTTCCCTTTGTTTTCCCACTCACCGTCTTCCCTTGCTTCAACACACCCCTTTCCTTCCCCTCCTTCCCCTCTTCCTTCCCCCCTTCCCTTCTTTGTGTACAGCTGGCTCCTAACGAAGACTTCCCGGGAGGATGGTGGAGCGAGATCATCGAAAGATTTCCTTGGCTCGAGCAGTGCTCGTGGCCCAGCAAACCCGCTCAAGTGCTACTGACGTGCATGAAGATGGAGACCATGGAAGTGATAAAACAGGTTTGGGATTCGGGACGCTTTCCGTACTTCTTTGAGATGATCGGATTTAGCGACCTTGTGAAGCTCGCAAGGGCATGGGATAGCAATAGGGAAGGGTTTCAGGCTGAGATCGAAAGGCTAGGAACGGACCTAGAAAGACTGAAGGTTGATTATACCCAGGAATGCATAGTATTGTCAAAAAGAGAGGCCAGGGTTGAACAGATCTTTCTAAAAGCCTGGGGACTGAGTGATTCGCACCTCCTGGACCTGATTCCAGCAGTTCCGACCCCCCCACTCGCACGCCCCCCGACGCAGCAGCCGGGCGGCCCCCATCCCACACAAGCGGCCGACAGCCCAGCGTTCGCGTTCAATGATGACGAGATCGCCGAAATGCAGCAGGCGATCGCAGCCATCTCTTCGTTAGTACATCAGCCCCCTCCAAGGCGAGTCTCCATCTCTAGAGCGGCACGCATGTCCCTCTCCTCTAGACAGTTCACAGCGTTCGTCCCCCTAGCATCCACGCACTGGGTATGGCACACCTCGATAGGCTACAAGCACTGCGTCTGGAAGATGGACACCTATAACCATCTGGCCCCCATCTCCTTGCGAGCCTTTCAGTTTCTCGCTGGTCTCACAGATGAACAAGTGAGGAAATGTCGAGCCCGAGCCTATACTGCACAGATGAATTACTGCGGCAAGTCGGTCTCTCCTTTCGCCCCTTGTGAGCTTTTGTTCCCACTCATGAGTTACTTGGATCCAGAGAAGTGTGGACAGTCCACCCCGGTCATGTGGCACAAAGCCATTAAACCACCACCAGCTCTGGATCTCAGGAACCTACGCAAGATCTGGAGCGTCGACAGACCCTACCTGAAGTGCAGTTGCAAGCAGGAGGATGGAGGGAAAGACTGTCCCGGCGGACCCTTGTGGATGGACCACGCCTTCTGGTTTCTACTGGCGCACTCGGACGTCCTCTTCCTCACGATGTCGTCCATCAAAGTCAAGACATCAATGCTCGTCCACTTCATGAGGACCACGTGGAAGGAAGCTGTCATCGGCTGCATCACCTTCATCTTCGTAAGGGAGCTCATGATGGACTACATGGCGGCTCTGGAACAGGAGGAGGTACTCACGGCGGAGACGGTCATCAAGGACGAGAGACTCTGGAGGCATCAACTCCCCCCGACCCTCGGACGACTCCTCCTTCCAACAAGGATCCCTGCCAGACCAAGAAAAGTTACCCCACTCTCAAGAGCAAGGAATACGCCTGCACAGATACCTGGACAGGCGAGACTCAACTTCTCGGCCGTGAACAGAGCCGGCGGCAATGTTGCAGCAGAAGCTCGAGCGCAACCAGCAGCGCAAGGGGCGGTACCAGCAGGACAGCAGCAACAGCAGCAGCAGGAACCCCCCCCCGTCCAGCGAGCGCAGGAGGAACCGCAGAGGGCAGATGCGGATATGCGGCCCATCGCCGCAGCTGGCAGCAGAAACAGCCAGGAGCTGGACCAGGAGCCAGACACAGCTCCAACTAGGGGGATGCTGGGACCAATCCACACGAGCTAGACAGGCCTTCCCAACTGGCAGCACGACGAAGAGGACGGGTACAAGCCACTCCGATGTCCGCGCAACCAAAGGCTGCGCGGCTCGCGCATGTACATGGGAAGAGGAGGTCTCCAAGAGAAAGTTCTGGTATTGATTTAGAACATTCACAGCCCAGCAAGAAGCACAAAAGGAGGGCGACTAATGGCGGAGGAACTCGGATAGTCACGCCATGAAGGAGAAGACCGGAACGACTTGGAGGGGATCTATTCTGCAGCTGAATGTGTATACGGGTGCATGGGAACGAGTATACACATGTGCATACATCGAAACAAATGCCCCCTCCCTCTCTCTCTTTTGTTCTCTCTCTCTCTCTCTCTCCCTCTTTCCCTTTTCCCTTTGTCTTCTCTCGTATATGGGTAGTCGGGGGACGACGTACCTAGGCCAATATCTCGCTCACCTGATTGAAAGAACCTCCTCAGGGCCGTATCGTACGCCGTCAGTCCCTGCGAGGCATTGACCTTAGTACCATATGAGTCCCTGTCTTCTTCGTTCCCCTTCTCTCGCCCGATGCATATATATATATATATATATATATATATATATATATATATATATATATATATATATATATATATATATATATATCTCTCTCCTCCGCTACCTCACGATTGATGTTATAAT